AATAACTTTTATACAATTAATATTTCACTCATTAGTTTCATCAACTTTATGCAAATTAACACATTTAACAAATTTATTTGATCTTATTTCGAGAGTTAGCAAGTTAAAAATATCGAAATATTTTTATTTCAAGTGAAAAGTATAAGTTCCAGTAACTTCCGATTCAATATAAAATTAATTCAATGATACAAATAGCTTCAATATTGAGCATTCAAATTTCGGACTCCTCAACTTTTTTGAATTTTAAATCGAATCCTTTTTCTTTTTTTGAAATTTTACTCATTCAACAGTGTATCAATAAATGCATCTTTCCTTTGACTTCACGCACAATAATTGTGAATACTCGCAAAAATGTCAAAAAACAGACAAAAACGAGAACGATGAGTGGCACAGATAAGAGCGCAAAACTGACTTTTGAAAAGATAACCAAGAAATACACTCAATACCTCTCTCGGAGAACCCATCAAAAATTTTTCATTGCAAGAAACTAATCTAATTCTAAATTTGACACACTTACATGCTAATTAGACCGAAAACAAGTAAAAGATGAAACAACCAACAAAAGCCAAAGACATAACTTGGGAAAATGCAGCAATTACGACATTGTACATTCATGACATATTATATTATTTTTTTAAATTTGGATGTATTTAGTCGCGCAATATTTAGAAATACATGTTAAATAGTGTATAGTATCTTAGAAAAATTAAATTTGTTACTCATCTTTTCATTTCTATCCAATCTAATAAAACCAAATACCCTCACATATGAAATATTTTTCCCTATTTCTGATCAAACGTCAACTGAATTTAATTCATATTCTAAGTTTTACCAATCATAACATTTAAGTAAATTCAAAAACAATTAAAGATGCTATTAAATGTGGTAGAGAGTTGGGAATAGAATTATTTGAAATTTCAAAATGCGATGAAAAATATCAAATAACTTTGCTTCTAATGTTTGATTACGGCTTTAAATGATTCAATATTCTCTTCGACAATTCTCTAGCACTTTCTAAATTTTAGAAGTGACAAAAAACAAACAAATCTTTTGTTCCTAAAAAGTTTACAGCTCACAAATTCTCTACCGTTGAAACAACTTTTCAGCCAATTTCTTACCACTTTAGGAACTTTCTTTACAATTACTGAATCAATCAAAATATTCAATCTCTTTCTATTTACAACTCTTTCTACACATCTGAAGCATAGACTTACTCTTTCAAGCAACTTTTATTCCGCTCTTGGACAAATCTTTTCAACGGTACCACAAGTTCGAGTGATCGAGTACTAACCGAATTTAATAAATAAAATATCACATAGCGGGAACTCGAGAACACAGCATCAAGCGTTGTTAACTTATTTTGTTCATCATCGGTACCTAAAAATCTTAATTTTAACAAAAATAATTGATTACTAGTTAGTTTAGCATTTATTTGAATTTTTTGCTAAAAAAATACAACCATAATCCTCATTTTTTCAGGCAGAAAATAACTTTTCAAGAAAAAATTATTATTTATTGCAGTTATAATCAAGAAGCTAATCAATAAGCTGACACTCATCATTCAATTGAAATTATATTCCGACCGAGGCATTATTTAAAACTAACTGGCAGTTAATTCTGAGAGTTTTTTCACACTGACTCTAAAACTAAAACTGATTATCTTTAATAACTAGTAAAATGTGCTAATTAGAGAAAATTGAATATATTTTGTTACAAATTACTGTCAAAGAACTGCTTTGATTCATTCCCCATTTCTAAAATTTTCACATCTGCTTAAACATTTATAAAGTTTCATTGCAGAAAATTTCATTCGATTGCAAAATGTCTGAATTCAATAGATAATCTTTGCTATAATCGAATAAGAAAGATCATCTTATTGCTTAGAAGCTCAAAACCATTTGTTCAATGTAAGAATTAAGGCTATCTCTGTCTAATTTTCTCATTACTTACAGCTAGCACATTCCACAAATTATGAGTGAATATTTCTTTTTGTAAGATTAAAAACGAAATCCAGTAAGTGATAAATTGATAAGCGATTAAATGAAATGGACGAACTTCTTCTATCTCAATAATTCAACTTCAGTCACGGCATTCATTCCATTTCAACAAGTAATCTTAGCAAGTGATTGTTCACAGCAACTCTTTAAACTTCGACTGCTCGTGAAGTTCTTTATGTTGAAAAAATCTCAAATGTTGTGAAAATGAAAAAAACGAATAACCTTTGCCGATGAGATGTAACAGGCCAATATTACGAAAACAATACTCGTAAAGGTCCTCGAACGCCATCTATACGAGTGAATTTCAAATCAATCACTCTGCAATTGAATAAAATTTTAGCAGTAATGAAAAATTGATATTTCAATTCGCAATTAGTAACAAACCAAAATTTGAAATTGTTGCTGATAATTAACAACAGCTGTCACTTTACAATCCACCAATAGTAATGGTAATAACAATAATAACAAATAACAATAGTATAAGATCATTAATCCTTCTTCATTTTAAACCACTAATTTATTGCTGCTTTGATTTTATCCCAATAAATAATAATGGACATAAGTTGTATAAGAAGAGAAAACAAAAATTTCTTTCTCAATTACAATCAAAATTATACTTTTAAAAATTGAAGAATTAAAACAAATTTAGCCTACGAAATTTAATGGATAACATTGAATTATGAAAAAAATATACATGTAGAAAAACTACAAAATGTAAAAAGCTGTATTTTAATAGCTGTTAAGACAAATTTTTGAGCTATTTTTAAAAGCTTAGAGATCGAATTACTTACAATCACGAAGTGGTGATCAATAATAAAATTGAACTTGTTGAAATCATAATGAATGTTAGAAAGATTAAGAAAACAGAAATGAGCACAAACAAAGTTATTTTTGACTGCATTGACCAGTGAATTGTTCTACACAACAAATATACTAGCGCAAACTATTCACGTAACCCTCAACATTAGTAAATAAATCGTAGTGATGAGACGAAATTAGTTCATATGCTTAGAAACAAGAATAATTCAGATTATACTCATCTCTGACCACTACTAAGCGAGTTGAGTAAAAAATATAATTTCATGTCTAATGGATAGCCAAGACCAGTCAAATTTTTTCCGACAAGAAAATATACTCAGCTGCTCACTAAAATACATCAAGGAGGCAGGAAAAGGATGACACTTTGTTAGACAGATTTTGGTCAAAAAAAATTTATTCCCCTCTGAGTTATAGAGAAGTAATAATTTATTCGAGATTAGTAGCAATATAATTTGCGTAAATGACACAATTTTAGTGATAAAAATAAACACACAATTGAGTTGAATAATCAAAAACTTAGAGCGATGAAAGTCAGTAAGGCATTTCTTATTCATTCTCCATTCAGAGTAACAGACTATACTTATCAGTTAAGACGAAAAATCACATTTCTAATTATATTGCATAAGTTACAGGATATATGTTGAATCACATGCTATCATGTGTATTATGTGTACTACACACGCGAGAATGCATGTTCAATAACGAGAAGGAAAGATTTAATTTGACGTTAAGATCAAACACAAAAATGACTGTTTTTAGAGAAAGAATCAAAAAAAAAAGTAGTTCACGTAAAGAACGTGTAAAGGCGAGAAAACGTAAAGAAAGAAATGGCATGAATGCCTGAGAAGTACGAAATGGCAAAAAGAAAAGAGAGAGAAATGAACAAAGCCTTGCGGGCAACAGACAGGCAAGAGGCACTGAATTCGCTAAGATTATTAACTATCGCAGGCCAGCATTCACTCTACCCTCCTTAGAATTTACCTAACAGTTAAAGGCTCTTCAGAGTGATTAATTCTTCGAACTGTGCCTTACTGCTTGACTTACAGTAATCGTTACTGATAATCTTGCGATAAGCAGTAATGAAATGAGCCTTGAGCAAGTCATGACAGATTTTCTTAGCAAGCAATTAGGAAACGTTCTAACACATTTTTGTAGCCGTCTATTT